TTATCTGAACTTAAAACTTTAGAGTTAACAGTGTATTATCTGAATCCAAGACGTTTAAGCATAGTGTGCACAACTTTTACTAAAAGTAGTAGAGTACAAACATAGTCTGGTATGTCTTAGGAGAGTCTGCCAAATCTTAGCAGAGTCTCCCCAACCTTAGCAGATTATGTCCAGTTTGCTCATCATATACTGATCTGAACAAAGTTTAAACAGAGTCTGCGCAAATTATGTTATGGAAAACAGAATACATGCAGTCTTAACAAAGTTGCCATACTTGGTGTAACACCCGCTTTAGGGACTATGAATCCCACCGCAAAATGCTAGTCAAATCGGTTATCTCATTACTCTAAATTTTTTTTATTACATTGTGCGGTGAAATTATAACGTAAGGAACTCTAAACCATGCCTTGGAAAAGTCTCTACCGCATCCTGCCGCATCCTGCTGCCTTGCCTTCCTATGAGCCATCTGACCACCAGATTTCCTATCCTGCAGGCCTGGTAAGGGGGTGAGTATGGAATACTCAGTAAGACGGTGTTCTCCGTCTCATGACCTAACATAACCTATCTACCATTTACCACTACTACCACATGATGCCTCGGCACCATGCGTTTACCCAATGACCAGGTAAGTGCTACCGCACTTCCCTCAGTTTGCATATTATACATATATATATATGGGAGTCATTGACTCTTCTATTTAACACAAGACGAAAGAATCCCATTTCTGTTTCCGACTTACCCGAACCTCCATAAATTAAATAATCTTAATATATATACGGGAGCCCCGGGCTCCATTATTCAACACAAGACGGAGGAACCCTGTTCCATTTCCAATCTTGCCCGAACCTCCATTATATATTCTGCCTGTCGACATAATTTTCACAACATATTCTTCCCCGTAGGGCGAACCTCCATAGACTCCCGGAGCCCTTCTGGTAGTTCTTGTCTACCAGGTCTTCGTGCCACTTTTCAGGTCAAACACAAACAAGTCGGCGACGAATGCCCATACAAACGCCCCTATGTAATAATGTATATGTGGCCAAGTGAACCTACTATCCTATCGGTTAGTATGCACTCTACTCTAAACTCTCCTAAGGTTCACAATAATTCTCTATCCATTCATCATATTCCTTTTTCTATGTTCCCAAACAATAGCCGAAGCATTTTAATCAATACCTTTGCTCCGTATGGTCGGCCCCAGGTAAGCATGGCTATCCCATAACGATACCCATGACACATCTATGGCCACACGGTAGCCGTCCCTGCAGGAATACACACATAACCTAATCCATTAATTGTGGATAACTCATGACACCAACTCGTACTATGACAGTCCAAGCGATCTCACATCTATCCTCTATCCCCTTGACCGTAAGCCATCTGACTTGAGTTCGTCAAACCCTTTTTGACACTTCTCTCACCAGACCTTACTTACAACCATGCGTCGGATTAGCTAAGGTAATACTAGTATAACCATTTGATTATCCTAATAGCTTCCTACCTGGTTCACATAAATTTTGTCAAAAAGGCCCTAAATATTTAGAACTTTACAAAAAAAAACCCTAAAATTTTTTTTTTAGCACAAGGCTCTTTAAACTTTGGGCCGAGTGTGAATGAATCCATTACCCATATGCTCTGTCACTGCGTGTTTGCATCTCAGGTTTGGGACCTCGCCCCTTTTGCTGGCCATGTCTCTTCCCACCAGCACCCCAACTTTGAGGACATTTGGAAAGAAGTTAAAACCACTGAGTGTTTACCTCCCTCTGGAATTGGAAGAGGAAGCCTGGCACCATGGATATGTTGGAACTTGTGGAAGGCCAGGAATGACTTGATGTTCAATAACAAGGGTTCTCCAGCCCAGGAGCTTGTCTCTAAATCCATCAGAGATGCTAGAGAGTGGCAAGAGAAGCAGGAGCGTAAAACCAGACAGAGAAGAATCTGGTGACTCGGGAGATTAAAAAGGTACAAGCTGAGGTGGTGTGCCAAACAGATGCGGCTTGGAAGGACTACAGCTTGCTGGGCTAGGATGGACCTACCTTCATCAGGAAATGGTCTCTCAACAGATGTTCTCCCAAGTACTGATGCATGTAGACTTACCACTCAGAAGGACTGGCAGTTGGAGCAGCATTCTCACAAGCTGCTGATGACAACATAAGGACTTTATCGGTCGAATCCGATTCCTTACAACTAGTGAGAGCCATAAATGCAGGCTCTAGTGTGTCCAAACTACATGGTATCCTCCATGATATCGTTTTCCTCTCAACAAAG